GTAGACACCTACCAACAGTAATTTCTAAATTTGGTAACAGTAAGGCCTCATGCACACTGGACATTTTTACAGCTGTTGTTTTGGGTGTCAGGCATTTTTTGCAAACAGGAAATTCCTTTTATGGACATTTCCCGATGTCCTTTGCTGCCTCATTGTCTCAGCTGACTGAACTGTGTGCAAACAGGAAATTCCTTTTATGGACATTTCCCGATGTCCTTTGATGCCTCATTGTCTCAGCTGACTGAACTGTGTGCAAACAGGAAATTCCTTTTATGGACATTTCCCGACGTCCTTTGCTGCCTCATTGTCTCAGCTGACTGAACTGTGTGCAAACAGGAAATTCCTTTTATGGACATTTCCCGACGTCCTTTGCTGCCTCATTGTCTCAGCTGACTGAACTGTGTGCAAACAGGAAATTCCTTTTATGGACATTTCCCGACGTCCTTTGCTGCCTCATTGTCTCAGCTGACTGAACTGTGTGCAAACAGGAAATTCCTTTTATGGATATTTCCCGACGTCCTTTGCTGCCTCATTGTCTCAACTGACTGAACTGTGTGCAAACAGGAAATTCCTTTTATGGAAATTTCCTGATGTCCTTTGCTGCCTCATTTTGGATGAGTCCAGAATCATGGTCGATGGCTGCTCCTCTCCTTCAGCTGTCTCTGTCTTCTCACCATCCTTAACAGAATCAGTAGGATAGCCTCATCAATTTCCTGCATTACAAGATTCACAATGAATGCAGCAAGAAAAAGAAAGATAGCTCCTGCACAACACAGTGCACTCTGTGCTCTGAAAATGGCGACTAAACAACTACACGATGTCTATTCAGAGATGCATTGTGGGAAACTGGGAGTTCAAAATAGCAGAGAGGTGTTTTCTTACTAAAAAAACTCTAACGTGGCAAAACGCAAAACAAATTCTATTGAAAAAGAACAGCAAAACACTGCAAAACTTGCATTTTTAACACTGCAACGCTACTGGCGCTTTCATAATGGTCAGTGTGCATGAGGACTAAATGTAAATGAAACCAAAGCATATAAATTGTCTCTAGCTGCAGATATTTTGTTCTTTTTGTACTCTGAACTGTATTGCTTACCATGAATTTGAAGATAAAATTCACACGTGCTGGGCTGATTACTTTTGCCCAGGATTTCTGCAAGGAACGCTCCTTCATCTTCACTGGTTACGTTGCAGATGGTGATTGAGGAACTTAGAGAAGAGACATTGCAGGAGCAGAGTTTGGATGTATAATTTTGGTTCTCAATTCTGCAGCAATTTGTAGGGTCTTCAGACTGGCAACAATGTTTCCTAAATGTGCAACATTCCGAAATCCTGAAGAACACATTTTGCGTTTGCTTCCTAATCCAGTAGACTTCTTCTATCTCTTCCTTTACTGTGACTTGCAAAGTCACCCTCCCTCCATTCTCCATTAGAATTTGCCCTTCTTCTCCATTTTTATTGCAAGATGTTTTACAGTGCCCACCTTGTATGAAATATAAGAATTGGTTAATGAAAAAGAGTATGCTACCTCGACATTAAAGCATATAACTTTCATACGACAATGTATTTACTAGCACAAACATTGCAGATGGTCATATACAGGTTCTAAACACATATGGGATGCCCAAGGAACAGTTACGTTTGAGGACAAACGTCTTGGCAACCTGTACAAAACTGTAAATTTCCAAAATTTGCTCTATTTTTGTACAGGTTGCCAAGAAGTTTGTCCTCAAGTTTAACTGTTCCTTGGGCATCCCATATACCCCAAGACCCCCAAACAACCACATCTTCCCACGCACAGTAAGACAGTTCTTGAGCTGATATTTTATTTTAGTTGTTTGGGGATCTTGGGGTATATAGGATGCCCAAGGAACAGTTAAACTTGAGGACAAACTTCTTGGCAACCTGTACAAAAACTGTAAATTCCAAAATTAGCTCTGTCTCTTTAAGGAGCACTGAAGTCCCCTCAGTGTACCTCCTCAAACCCCAGATGAATCCTTCCTCCTTCACGCGGCTGAACTGAGGGTATCCCTAGGCAAGGGAATCTCAAGATCTGACAATTAAGTAGTCCTGGATTAAACTAGTTGAGTCTTGCACCTGACTGCCCTTTCTATATACCCCAAGATCACCAAACAACTAAAATAAAATATCAGCTCAAGGACTGTCTTACTGTGAGTGTGAAGATGTAGTTGTTTGGGGGTCTTGGGGTATATGGGATGCCCAAGGAACAGTTAGTTTGAGGACAAACTTCTTGGCAACCTGTACAAAAATAGAGCTAATTTTGGAATTTACAGTTTTGTACAGGTTGCCAAGACATTTGTCCTTAAGTTTAACTGTTCCTTGGGCATCCCATATACCCCAAGACCCCCAAACAACCACATCTTCACACTCACAGTAAGACAGTCCTTGAGCTGATATTTTATTTTAGTTGCTTTGGGGTCTTGGGGTATAAGGAATGCCCAAGGAACAGTTAAACTTGAGGACAAACTTCTTGGCAACCTGTACAAAAATGTAAATTCCAAAATTAGCTCTGTCTCTTTAAGGAGCACTGAAGTCCCCTCAGTGTACCTCCTCAAACCCCAGATGAATCCTTCCTCCTTCACGCGGCTGTACTGAGGGTATCCCTAGGCAAGGGAATCTCAAGATCTGACAATTAAGTAGTCCTGGATTACAACTAGTTGAGTCTTGCACCTGACTGCCCTTTCTATATACCCCAAGATCACCAAACAACTAAAATAAAATATCAGCTCAAGGACTGTCTTACTGTGAGTGTGAAGATGTAGTTGTTTGGGGGTCTTGGGGTATATGGGATGTCCAAGGAACAGTTAAGTTTGCGGACAAACTTCTTGGCAACCTGTACAAAAATAGAGCTAATTTTGGAATTTACAGTTTTGTACAGGTTGCCAAGACGTTTGTCCTCAAACTTAACTGTTCCTTGGGCATCCCATATACCCCAAGACCCCCAAACAACCACATCTTCCCAAGCACAGTAAGACAGTCCTTGAGCTGATATTTTATTTTTAGTTTGGGGATCTTGGGGGTATATAGGATGCCCAAGGAACAGTTAAACTTGAGGACAAACTTCTTGGCAACCTGTACAAAAATGTAAATTCCAAAATTAGCTCTGTCTCTTTAAGGAGCACTGAAGTTCCCCTCAGTGTACCTCCTCAAACCCCAGATGAATCCTTCCTCTTTCACACAGCTGTACTCAGGGTATCCCTAGGCAAGAGAATCTCAAGATCTGACAATTAAGTAGTCCTGAATGAGAACTAGTTGAGTCTTGCAACCTTCTGTCCAGCATGTTACCTGGCCATACAATGCTTGGGGGGGACCCAAAACTCAGTGGCCCTCAAGAGGGTAGCACTATACTTGCACAAGAAGCAGCATGCGCGCATTTCGCACAGGTCCTGGCACCAAATGGCCTGTTCAAGCTGTACTGTGACTTGGGCAGATTGCTGAGTGGTCTTCTGCTAGTTCTTGGTTGACCTGTGACCTGACCTACTTCAAGTGACCAAATTCTGGCAGAGATAAGAAGACAGGAATTATAACGTATACACTTACCAGTCATAAGGTTCGCCAACAACATACAAATGAAAATGTGTGTCTTCATTTTTAATCTCGGTCTGTGGTCACTTCATTTTTAAACTTGGTGAACGCTGAGACATAAAAAGTAAAAATGAATACATATTTATGCTGTTTTCAGCTCTGCTATTCATTTATTAGCTATACATCCATAAATAACAGCTCAGACCTCGCCCTCCTTCACAGCTTGTGCCGCTGAGTTGCTGATCATCTATTGCTGAGATACAGGGCATGATTGGCTTTTGCAGTAATTTCAATGAGCAAACAACTGAAGCTTATTGTTACAATATAGGATGTGTGCAGATTATGCTCATGGTGATGCACACAAACGTGCCTACTGTATGTATGAATGGGTATTCACTTACACATGGGATTTGCCTAATATTATTGGCTCCAATGGACAAACCTATGACTGCTATGTGATGGCATATCTAGGGCATTCATTCTGAGAGAATAGGTGCAGGTACCCACATCTCCCTCAGGGCTCAGGAGTCTGTATTGTGCAGGGCTCAGGAGTTTGTATCACGCAGGGCTCAGGAGTCTGAATCGCACAGGGCTCAGGAGTCTGTATCGCACAGAGTTCAGGAGTCTGTATTGTGCAGACTCAGGAGTCTGTATTGTGCAGGACTCAGGAGTCTGTTTTGTGAGGAGCTCAGGGGTCTGTATTGTGCAGGGCTCAGGGGTCTGTATTGTGCAGGGCTCAGGAGTCTGTATTGTGCAGGGCTCAGGAGTCTGTATTGTGCAGGGCTCAGGAGTCTGTATTGTGCAGGGCTCAGGAGTCTGTATTGAGCAAGACTCAGGAGTCTGTATCATGCAGAGCTGAAGAGTCTGTATCACACAGGGCTCTGGAGTCTGCATCCTGAAGAGCTCAGGAGTCTTTATTGTACAGGGCTCAGGAGTATGTATTGTACAGGGCTAAGGAGTCTGTATTGTGCAGGGCTCAGGAATCTGTTTTGTGAGGAGCTCAGGGGTCTGTATTGTGCAGAGCTCAGGAGTCTGTATCGTGCAGGGCTCAGGGGTCTGTATTGTGCAGGGCTCAGGGGTCTGTATCGTGCAGGGCTCAGGGGTCTGTATTGTGCAGGGCTCAGGAGTCTGTATCCTGCAGGGCTCAGGAGTCTGTATCGTGCAGGGCTCAGGATTCTGTTTTTGAGGAGTTCAGGGGTCTGTATTGTGCAGGGCTCAGGAGTCTGTATTGCGCAGAGCTCAGGAGTCTGTATCGTGCTGGGCTCAGGGTCTGTATCGTGCAGGGCTCAGGAGTCTGTATTGTGCAGGGCTCAGGATTCTGTTTTGTGAGGAGTTCAGGGGTCTGTATTGTGCAGGGCTCAGGAGTCTGTATTGCGCAGAGCTCAGGAGTCTGTATCGTGCTGGGCTCAGGGGTCTGTATCGTGCAGGGCTCAGGAGTCTGTATTGTGCAGGGCTCAGGAGTCTGTATTGGCAGGGCTCAGGAGTCTGTATCGTGCAGGGCTCAGGAGTATGTATTGTGCAGAGTTCAGGAGTCTGTTTTGTGAGGAGCTCAGGGGTCTGTATTGCGCAGAGCTCAAGAGTCTGTATTGTGCAGGGCTCAGGAGTCTGTATTTTGCAGGGCTTAGGAGTTTGTATTGCATAGGGCTCGCATATGTCACATTCATAGTCACTTAAATCCCCTTTCTTCCCCATTCTGATGCTCAGTTTGAATTTCAGCAATTTGTCTTCAGCACATCTAGATGCCTAATGTATTGAGTTGCTGTCATGTGATTGGCTGATTAGCAATTTGTGTTACCAAGCAATTGAACAGGTGTACCTAATAAAGTAGTAGATGAGTGTACATGTAAAGCGCTGCGTAAATTAATGGCGCTATATAAGTACCTGTAATAAATAAATATTCACTTTACCTTCTTTACTTATGACTAACCCCCCAGTGGGTGGGGTGAAATGCATCAGAGTGTGTGGTTTGGTGGAGACCAGGGGCATATCTACCGTGGGGCAAACAAGGGGTTTACTTAGGGCGGCAATTTTTAGGGGGGCAGCGGACAGAGCCAAGCAGGGCCGCCATCAGAGGGGTACACTTGTAGTGGCCGGGACAGGAGGAGGATCGATGTGGGGGACGGCAGTTGCAGAGCGATGCTCATGTACCTCTCCCTCCAACAGCTGACGAGCCAGGACCAGGGGACAGCCTGGAGCAGGGAGAGGAGAAGTGGTGGAGATGAAAGAGTCCAGAGGAGGTGAGCTGTGTTGTGTTCTGTGGGATCTCCCTGCCTCCCTCCCTACACTGACAGATCGTATGGGAATGCACACACCTCCCAACCTCCTTCCTGCTGGCTGGAGATCAGCAGCCCAAGGAGGAGGAGGAGGTGTGTGTGTGTCCCCAATACTATCTGAGAAAGGAAGAGAGAGAGAGGGAAGAGAGAGAGAGGGGAAAGGGAGAGAAGACAGAGGGAGAGAGAGGGTAGAGAGGGAGGGAGGGAGGGAGGGAGGGAGAGAGAGGGTGGGAAGAAAGAGGGAGAGAGAGAGAGAGGGGGGGAGAAGGAAAGAGAGAGAGGGGAGAGAGGGGGGCAGAGGGGGGGGGGGGGCAGAGAGAGGGAGGGAGAGAGGGGATGAGAGGGAGAGAGGAGAGAGAGATATGAGAGAGAGAGCGAGAGAGGGGGGAGAGAGTGGGAGAGAGAGAGAGAGAGATGGGGGGACGAGGAGGGAGAGAAAGGAGAGATGAGGGGAGAGAGAGGAAAGAGAAGAGAGAGATGAAGGGGGGGGGAGTGAGAAGAGGACGGGAGAGAGAGAGGAGAGAGAGAGAAGAGGAGGAGGGAGGGAGGGAGAGAGGAGGGAGAGAGGGAGAAGAGAGAGAGAGACGAGGGGGGAGAGGGAGAGGAGAGATAGGAGGAAGGAGAGAGAGAGGAGGGAGAGGGGGGGAGAAAGAGAAGAGGACGGAGAGAGAGGAGAGATAGGGGGGGTAGAGAGAGGAAAGAGAGGAGAGAGAGAGAGAGAGAGAGAGAGGAGGGGGGAGAAGAGAGTGAGAAGAGGCCGGAGAGAGAGAGGGGAGAGAGAGAAGAGGAGGAGGGAGGGAGAGAGGAGGGGGAGAGGGAGAGAGAGAGAGAGAAGAGGGAGGGGGGAGAGGGGGAGAGAGGGAGAGAGAGAAGAGAGCGAGAAGAGGAGGGAGGAGAGAGAGAGAGAAGAGAGCAAGAAGAGGAGGGAGAGAGAGAAGAGAGAGTGAGAAGAGGAGGGGGAGAGAGAGACAGAGAGGGGGGCACAGAGAGGAGAGAGGGAGGGAGGGAGGGAGGGAGGGAGAGAAGAGGAGAGAGAGAGAGGGGACAGAGAGGAAAGAGAGAGAGAGAAGAGGAGGAGGGGGAGAGAGAGAGAGAGAGAGAGAGAGAGAGAAGAGGAGGGAAAAAGAGAGAGGAGAGAGAGAGGGGGAGAGAGAGAGACAGAGAGGGGGGCACAGAGAGGAGAGGGAGGGAGGGAGAGAAGAGGAGAGGGAGAGAGGGGGCAGAGAGGAAAGAGAGAGAGAAGAGGAGGAGGGGGGGAGAGAGAGAGAGAGAGAGAGCGAGAAGAGGAGGGAAAGAGAGAGAGAGGAGAGAGAGGGAGGGGGGGGAGAGAGAGAGAGACAGAGAGGGGGGCACAGAGAGGAGAGGGAGGGAGAGAAGAGGAGAGGGAGAGAGGGGGCAGAGAGGAAAGAGAGAGAGAGAAGAGGAGGAGGGGGAGAGAGAGAAGAGGAGGAGGGGGAGAGAGAAGAGAGTGAGATTTTAGATCCCGGTATACACAGAATAAGATTACCTCACATTTTATCTTTGTTGTTCTCAGTCTCTCCAGTGATGTATTTAAAGTCCTGTTTCTTTTCTCAATAGACTCCGTAAATGTGTGTGTAATTTGAGAAAAACACGCGCATTGTTTTTTTTAACATGATAGTATGAATGAACCTCTAAAGAAATAACCAACTTCATGAGTTGCATATTTTAGTTGCTCTACGCCCTCTAAAGGATGCAAGTGTTATAGCATGGGTGTTAGCTGCGACACTATTCACAGGAGGACCTTCCTATGGAAGATTAAATAAATTATATGTCACTAGCATGAGAGATAACATGAACACTCACATGTAAACTAAACATAAAACCATCCACTTACTATTTTAAAGAAAAACTTCAAACTTCATGCGGTTTTTTTTTTTTTCTGTTTCTCTCCTTCCCTTCGCGTTCTCTGTCTTTGCTCAATTTTTTACTTTCAATTTTGAGTCAAACCCCTCCCTCCTCCTTTCCATTACCACACTGGCGTACATTTATTAAGCAGAGATAATTTATCTCATTTCAGTTCTCTGCAGTTCTCAGGGAAGAATCTTCTCCTCTGTCCCCGTTTATAAACGGAGAACATTTGTTCTCAGAAGGAGAAGAGAGAAGTTTTTTCCTCTGAGAACAGCTGAGATCTGTGGGGAGGGGCTGCCTGTGATCTCCTGAGATCATCGTGAGTTTAACCCCTCGCCTACCGGGCACTTCTACCCCCTTCCTGCTCAGGCTAATTTTCAGCTTTCAGCACTGTCACAATTTGAATGACAATTGCGCGGTCATGCAACACTGTACCCATATGAAATTTTTATCATTTTTTTGTGATAGAGCTTTATTTTGGTGGTATTTAATCACCTCTGGGTTTTTTAGTTTTTCTTAAACAAACCAAAAACCACTGAATTTTTTTTAAAAAAAAAAACGTATTTTCTTAGTTTTTGTTATAAAATTTTGTAAATAAGTGATTTTTTCTCCTTCACTGATGTGCGCTAATGAGGCTGCAGTGATGGGCACTGATAGGTGGCACTGTGGCACTGATAGGTGGCACTGATGGACACTGATAGGTGGCACTGATGGGCACTGATAAGGAGGCACTGGTAGCTGGCACTGATGGGCATCAGTGCCACCTATCAGTGCCCATCAGTACCACCTATCAGTGCCTCCTCATCAGTGCCCATCACTGCCACCTATCAGTGTCCATCAGTGCCACCTATCAGTGCCCATCACTGCAGCCTCATTAGCGCACATCAGTGAAGGAGAAAAATCACTTATTTACAAAATTTTATAACAAAAACTAAGAAAAATTTTTTTTTTTCACAAATTTCAGTTGTTTTTGGTTTGTTTAGCAAAAAAAATAAAAAAACCCCGAGGTGATTAAATACCACCATAAGAAAGCTCTATCTGTCTCAAAAAAATGATAAAAATTTCAATTGAGTACAGTGTTGCATGACCGCGCAATTGTCATTCAAAGTGCAACAGTGCTGAAAGCTGAAAATTAACCTGAACAGGAAGGGGGTAGAAGTGCCTGATAGACAGGAAGGGGGTAGAAGTGCCCGGTGGGCAGGAAGGGGATAGATGTGCCCGGTGGGCAGGAAGGGGGTAGAAGTGCCCTGTAGGCAGGAAGGGGGTAGAAGTGTCCGGTAGGCAGGAAGGGGGTAGAAGTGCCCTGTAGGCAGGAAGGGGGTAGAAGTGCCCTGTAGGCAGTAAGGGGGTAGAAGTGCCCTGTAGGCAGGAAGGGGGTAGAAGTGTCCTGTAGGCAGGAATGGGGTAGAAGTGCCCTGTAGGCAGGAAGGGGGTAGAAGTTCCCGGTGGGCAGGAAGGGGGTAGAAGTGCCCTGTAGGCAGGAAGGGGGTAGAAGTGCCCGGTAGGCAGGAAGGGGGTAGAAGTGCCCTGTAGGCAGGAAGGGGGTAGAAGTGTCCTGTAGGCAGGAAGGGGGGTAGAAGTGCCCTGTAGGCAGGAAGGGGGTAGAAGTTCCCGGTGGGCAGGAAGGGGGTAGAAGTGCCCTGTAGGCAGGAAGGGGGTAGAAGTGCCCGGTAGGCAGGAAGGGGGTAGAAGTGCCCTGTAGGCAGGAAGGGGGTAGAAGTTCCCGGTGGGCAGGAAGGGGGTAGAAGTGCCCGGTAGGCAGGAAGGGGGTAGAAGTGTCCTGTAGGCAGGAAGGGGGTAGAAGCGCCCGGTAGGCAGGAAGGGGGTAGAAGTGTCCGGTAGGCAGGAAGGGGGTAGAAGTGCCCGGTAGGCAGGAAGGGGGTAGAAGTGCCCTGTAGGCAGGAAGGGGGTAGAAGTGCCTGGTAGGCAGGAAGGGGGTAGAAGTGCCCTGTAGGCAGGAAGGGGGTAGAAGTTCCCGGTAGGCAGGAAGGGGGTAGAAGTGCCCTGTAGGCAGGAAGGGGGTAGAAGTGCCCTGTAGGCAGGAAGGGGGTAGAAGTGCCCGGTAGGCAGGAAGGGGGTAGAAGTGTCCTGTAGGCAGGAAGGGGGTAGAAGTGCCCGATAGGCAGGAAGGGGGTAGAAGTGCCCGATAGGCAGGAAGGGGGTAGAAGTGCCCGATAGGCAAGGGGTTAAACGGGCACCATATATTGCTTCATTTTAAACTGTGCACTGTAAACTCATATGGTTTTCCAGTCCATAGAATTTTTGGGTGACGGTTCCCCTCCAGAGCACTTTTTTAAAAAATTTTTGCACACGCATTTTTTACTTTAAAATTACTTTAAACCTCTAGAACATTACATATTTTCTGAAGCCAGAGGCGCCCAAAGAAACAAAACCAGATGGCAGTTCAATTTTTTTATGTTGCCCTCGAAATTTGTCAATTATCAGAGCAATATTTTCAATTAAAAAAAAAAAACAAAACAATAACACAAATTTATTATTGCAATAGAAAGCTGACAGAAAGATAAGAGCAAACGCAGAGCGCAGGAAGGTGTTAATAGTATCAACATTTTAATGAAAAATCAGACCGATATTGTCAGTAAAAATTAAAAAAAAAATAAAAAAAAACAACTCAAATGAATTTTATTGCACACAAACAAAATTTAATCCCCAGATTTTTTTTGTACAAAAAAAAAGATAAGGTAGCAGTATTTAAAAACCAAATTAGCAAAGCCTCAAAGCTGTGTGTGCCTGCAAAATGGCAAAAAAAAAAAAAATACAGTAACCAAAGTTACTAAATAGGTAGTGCTTTAAATGCCTTTATAGCTCATCATTTTGGACTAAACGGTAAATACAGGAACTAGAATTATTGATCTCACTCCAACATTAGCATGGAAATATAACTGGATATATAGCTGTGTAAATACATGTGTGCAAACTATTCACCGGGTAACGGTGTTTGCTAGCTATGCTATATATATATATATATACAGTGGGGCAAAAAAGTATTTAGTCCCCACCAATGGTACAAGTTCTCCCACTTAAAAAGATGAGAGAGGCCTGTAATTGGCATCATAGGGAGACCTCAACTATGAGAGACAAAATGAGAAAACAAATCCAGACAATCACATTGGCTGATTTGGAAAGAATTTATTTGCAAATTATGGTGGAAAATAAGTATTTGGTCGCCTACAAACAAGCAAGATTTCTGGCTCTCACAGACCTGTACCTTCTTCTTTAAGAGGCTCCTCTGTCCTGCACTCATTACCTGTATCAATGGCACCTGTTTGAACTTGTTATCAGTATAAAAGACACCTGTCCACAACCTCAAACAGTCACACTCCAAACTCCACTATGGTGAAGACCAAAGAGCTGTCGAAGGACACCAGAAACAAAATTGTAGACCTGCACCAGGCTGGGAAGACTGAATCTGCAATAGGCAAGCAGCTTGGTGTGAACAAATCAACTGTGGGAGCAATAATTAGAAAATGAAAGACATACAAGACCATGATAATCTCCCTCGATCTGGGGCTCCACGCAAGATCTCACCCCGTGGGGTCAAAATGATCACAAGAACGGTGAGCAAAAATCCCAGGACCACACGGGGGGACCTAGTGAATGACCTGCAGAGAGCTGGGACCAACGTAACAAAGGCTACCATCAGTAACACACTACGCCGCCAGGGACTCAGATCCTGCAGTGCCAGACGTGTCCCCTTGCTTAAGCCAGTACATGTCCGGGGCCCGTCTGAAGTTTGCTAGAGAGCATTTGGATGATCCAGAAGAGGATTGGGAGAATGTCATATGGTCAGATGAAACCAAAATAGAACTGTTTGGTAGAAACACAACTCGTCATGTTTGGAGGGAGAGAGAATGCTGAGTTGCATCCAAAGAACACCATACCTACTGTGAAGCATGGGGGTGGCAACATCATGCTTTGGGGCTGTTTCTCCACAAAGGGACCAGGATGACCAATCCATGTACAGGACAGAATGAATGGGGCCATGTATCGTGAGATTTTGAGTGCAAACCTCCTTCCATCAGCGAGGGCATTGAAGATGAAATGTGGCTGGGTCTTCCAACATGACAATGATCCCAAACATACCGCCCGGGGCAACGAAGGAGTGGCTTCGTAAGAAGCATTTCAAGGTCCTGGAGTGGCCTAGCCAGTCTCCAGATCTCAACCCCATAGAAAACCTTTGGAGGGAGTTGAAAGTCCATGTTGCCCAGCGAAAGCCCCAAAACATCACTGCTCTAGAGGAGATCTGCATGGAGGATGGGCCAACATACCAGCAACAGTGTGTGCCAACCTTGTGAAGACTTACAGGAAACATTTGACCTCTGTCATTGCCAACAAAGGATATATAACAAAGTATTGACATGAACTTTTCATATTCACCAAATACTTATTTTCCACCATAATTTGCAAATAAATTACTTCCAGATCAGCCAATGTGATTGTCTGGATTTGTTTTCTCATTTTGTCTCTCATAGTTGAGGTCTACCTATGATGCCAATTACAGGCCTCTCTCATCTTTGTAAGTGGGAGAACTTGTACAATTGGTGGTGACTAAATACTTTTTTGCCCCACTGTATATATATATGTATATGTATTTATTTATTTTTTTGCTATTTTTATCAATTATTTATAAAATAAATTTTTATCAATTTTTCTTAACATTTAACTTTATTGCAATCACAGGGAGAAGAACATGCCATTCATTACATTCATAAAAAGGACCTGTCACCTGTCCATTGCTATCCCATCTTGTGATTGCAAGAAAGCTAAGTGTAAAAAAATAAAAATGTAAAAAAAAAAAGAAATGAAATAAATTAATAATAAAAATAGCAAAAATATAAATAAATAAATAATATATATATATATATATATATATATATATATACTGCTCAAAAAAATTAAAGGGACACTTTGAAAACACATCAGATCTCAATGGGGAGTAATTTCCTGCTGGATCTCTATACTGACATGGACGGGGTAATGTGTTGAGAACGTAAGGATGCCCCATCGTTTGATGAAAATGATCGACCTACAGAGGACTGAATTCAAAGACACCCCAAAAATCTAAGTGAAGAAATGATACAGCAGGCAAGTCCATTTTGGTGAAATGTCATTGCAGCAACTCAGAATGGTCCTCAGTAGTTTGTGTGGCCCCCACATGCTTGTACGCATGCCTGACAACGTCGGGGGAGGCTCCTAATGAGACCACGGATGGTGTCCTGGGGGATTTCCTCCCAGATCTGGACCAGGGCATCACTGAGCTCCTGGGCAGTCTGAGGTGCAACCTGGTGGCATTGGATGGACTGAAACATGACATCCCAGAGGTGTTCTATTGGATTTAGGTCAGGCAAGTGTGGGGGCCATTCAATGGTATCAATTCCTTCATCCTCCAGGAACTGCCTGCATACTCTGTCATATACTTGTCATGCACCAGGAAGAACCCAGGACCCCACTGCACCAGGAGAAACCCAGGACCCACTGCACCAGGAGGAACCCAGGACCCACTGCACCAGCGTAGGCTTTGGCAATGGGTCCAAGGATTTCATACCTAATGGCAGTCAGGGTGCCATTGTCTAGCCTGTAGAGGTCTGTATGTCCCTCCATGGATATGCCCCCCCAGACCATCACTGACCCACCACCAAAATGGTCGTGCTGAACCATGTTACAGGCAGCAGAACGTTCTCCACGGCTTCTCCAGACCCTTTCACGTCTGTCACATGTGCTCAGGGGGAACCTGCTCTCATTTGTGAAAAGCACAGGACGCCGGTGGTGGACCTGCCAATTCTGGTGTTCAATGGCAAATGCCAATCCAGCTCTATGTTGCCGGGCAGTGAACACAGGGCCCATCAGA